TTTTTTTTTCTTTTTTTTTTTTTTTTTTTTTTTTTTTTTGGAGGGATGGAAAACGCACAAAAATATGATCTGGACTCATCGAATTTCGTAAAGTCAAGAACAATATCGATATTATCCGTACCAAAGTTTCAGTCACGAACCATACCTGACGTCAAGACGATCCGCTACAGTATATTTGTTAAGAAAACCTAATAATTATAAGAAAAAAAAATTAAATCGTACATCTCGAATATGCTAATCGCAACTAGCAGTATCCTTATCGTCGAGTGAGAGAGAACTTATCCGGTCGTAATAATTATAAAAAAAAGATAACTTATAATCGATGCAAGAGAAACGTCGGCGTAAGCAGTCACGAGAGAGAAACGGGCAATGGCGTCCCGCGAGGATGGAATAACCGGAGAGGATGAATACAGATATTTTCCCACTTACTCATGCTTATGTTTATTTATTAATTGTTGCGACGGATGTCATCAAACTTGAAAATTTAATAAAAATATTCACAATGAGCATTCTTTCTCTCACGCTCTCTCGCTGTATCTCGTGCGCGCAACCTCGTTCTCTCCGGCTCTGACGCGCTCATCGATGCACGCAGCATCCGCACTCTCAATTCGCGACACAACACGCACTCTCACGCGGTTCGCTCTTTTGCTCATCTTAAATCATTTTTCATTCTCACGAGACGTACACTCATCCCTCACGCACTCCATTTACGTCCTCACACTGTTATCGTTATTCATCGTCAGCATCAACAGCTTCCCCCACGTAACCGTAATCGTCATCATTATGATAATCATCCTCACCGCAATCATCAGCATTATCATTATGATCGTTACGCATTGATTTACCATCCGACACGAGGAGCGAGCGCAACGTGCGCGTGTAGTAGCCGTTGCGCGCGCACGTGGCCAGATTCCTATCAACTTCAAAGTCGTGTCCACATACCTGAACATTATTTGCCTGGCTATGCGTGTATGAATGTGTGTGGTATGTATGTATATGTACATTCAGTTAATAATAATTATTATTATTAATAACAACAATAATTAATTAATACGAATAGAAAATCGTGATTCACGGCGAATGACTCGATTCGTTAAGTTCAATCAACATTAATTCCAGAGAAATTGTCTTCCGGCCATACGTACATGCATATTTTCATCATGTTTGTTTGCCGTTTATTTATTTTTCTTTTATTTCTTTCTTCTTTTGGGAGCATGCCAGCGTCACTGGTGCGCGCAACACGGCAGAGTGAGATTTCCGGATTCGTCTCGATCGACCGTACCACTGCCAGTTCACATAGTCCCTCCACCTCTTCTCCGCCCTACCCACCTCTTCTTCACTCCCTTACCCTTTCCAAACCACCTAACCATCCTTCCACCCACCACCCACCCAGTCCCACCCTATTTCCCACCTGCAGTATCCAGCAGCCCAGTCACCCAACCAGCCAACCCAATTCACTCGAAGCAAACGACCCTACACCAAAGGGCACTGAGAAATTTTAGAACAGCCATCGATCTTCGCGTTGAGAATCGACGAGCTGCCCATCACAGAACATAAATCGCAATTGTGGTTCCGAGCACTGTGGTATTAAGGGTACAGTTACATCATAATTTCTCTGTGGTTGACTGATTCATATTAGTTTGCCTAACGGATTGTATTAGTTGTTCAGTCGAGAATGACCACCATGTCGTCACCCCGTGACGCCCTTTGTGGATGAGGAGGATGCAGAGGAGCCGGTAATCTGCGCCAAGGTTTGCGCGCAGCTCTCCGTAGTTCCACCGATGAGAGTGTCCTTCTGAGTCTCCTACGAGAAAAAAGAACAAGCGACGCGTTAATGATTGTCACTTTATTGTATCTTCTAGTAATGACTCTCCACGAAAAGGAGATACTTACTTGGCCTGATCCGAGGCCCGGAAGTATACATCATCGGGTGCATCCATCCATGAAATCACCTGCTTCCGTGCATTGCTTCTAGAGAGAGGTGGTCCGTGAGGAAGAGAATGAGGATGGGCGGCTCTACCGTTAAGTGGTGGTGCTAAAGGAAGTACGCTAGGTGCTACGTGTTCCAGAGCATGTTTTGTATGCAACTGCTGGGAATGATGGGCCCTTTTAGCTGGTGGTCCGCATGGAAGCCCTGCGTTCAGGGCTATACCTGCGAAAAATAAAATACTCGTGAGCTGAATTTACGCACAGAATTCTTTGACTACGCTGAAAGTTGTTTGCGACTCTAAATAAAAGTGATGTGGCTTCATTCGTATGAGAGGTGCATGTAAAGTGCGTATGGCCAATTTTATTCTTTACCTTCATCCCAATCCACATCCGAGTAGAAGCCAATAAACAGAGACAGCATTCAATACGGGGGGTTCAATGCTACCCCAAAAAAAGGGGAACGAAATTCTTTATGTAACTTACCATCCGAGCCGTTGATCTCGTCGAACGGCGGCCTTGTGCGTTTTAGAATAGTCTGTTGTGTCTGCATAGCAGGTTGAGGTTGGGGTGGAGTTAGTGGCAGTCTGTCTACTTCCGGTTTGTTTGGTACTCTCTCATACAGCAGACTGCCGTCTATATAAAAGAAAAGAGAATATGGAGACGTGAGTAAATAATAAAAAATGAAGAACAAAGGTTTTGCTTAAACATTAACAATACGAAAAAATTCATCGCGTACCAGGCGCCTTGGGTGGTCGTGGAAACGAAACACGATCAGGTTGTTTCCGTTGAGCCGGTGCCGTAAGAGCCAGCCAGTCCCAATCACCGGGTTGCCGAGGCGATGGATGATCGCCTAGACGAGTGGCAATATCGGTGACACGAGGACGGGGTCGAGGTCGAACAGCTCGTGCCAAAAGGCGGAGTTCGGCAGGACTCTTGGATGTGAGCTGAGGTGAAGCACAAAGGTGACGTAGAGGTGCTGCATTCACGGGTTGATGCGGAGCACGTGCTGCGTGACGCGTTCGCAATTGAGCCGCACAAAGTCTGCGCGCTGCACGCGCCAGTGCCGAGGTACGTAGGTAAAAGGCTGATCGTGTTTTCATGACAGGTCTCGGTGAACCACCACCGCCACCCCCTCCAGTACCACTTCCGCGCAAATCCACACCGTGTGCACTAGCGTAATGACGACTCAGATGAGCCTTGAGCTTGAATTCTTTGCCACACGACGGAATGCTGCATCTGTGTGGTCGATGAGCACCACCTATTCCTTTTCCTTCCTCGTCAGACCCTGCACCGCCTCTTTTGCGGTCCAGGTCTACGTCGTCGATGCGCGTTGGCACCTGAAACGTGGAGTGAATTGATTGGAACTGATACGAAAAATGAAATTATGAACTTTTTTGAATTCCCAGTAGCTGACAATGATTAGTGACAGCATACCTTGAGCCCTCCATATTTCTTCCAATACAGCCAGCAGGACTGACAGAGTCGACATTGCATATGCGACGGACCCCAGGCGTACCACTGAGGACTTTGTGACATTTGACAACTTTCACAGGGTTTTCCGCCAACGCCAACGACAAGCATTCCACTAGCATCGCCCGTGATGTTACCATTGCTACTACCATTGAGAATACTAGCGGTCTTCCCGTTGCTGCTGTTACTATTGCCCATTGGTACAACGGTGGTTATATTAGGCGCGGTTGACGAAGATGGCGCTTTGTTGTAGTTTGGTATATAAACTTGTTTCAATTTGCTTTCAGCCTCGACGGCCTTTACCCTCTTTTGTTGTACATAACGATCCGTCGTCTTCCACATATAATAGTACTCAATGACGTTCTTCAGCGTTTTCCAGGGTAACTACAGACAGACCAATAATTTTAATGCACGAAGAGGAATAACAATGACTATAGACAAGCATATTCTACACGACGAATACTCACGAAGTCTTGACGAATGTCAGAGAAGTCCTTCCCATACTTATTAAGGGCCTCCTCGAATAAATTAGCCTCGGAAGCGCTCCATTCTTCCATCTCGTCTCTGCAGAGTACAGGACCCGAACTGGGTACCAAGGAGGACATGGCTTTGGCTACGTCATAAGAGTGCCGATGCAGGGTATCCATCGCGTGAAACTAAATACACAATGACAGACGTTAAAAACGAATTACTTACCAAATGCATATAATAATTAACTAGCAGTCTTTACTCACGAGGGTAATGTCTCTAGACGCAGCAGCCGCTGACATGTGCAGGGATGGTTGCTTGACGGAGGATGAGCAGTCGAGAGCTCTCGCAAAAGTACCAACCGATCGACTGACAACAAGAAACTGATCGATCTGTCGATCGGTTAACGAGTGACGTGGAGTCCACACCAGGGTTTCTAGATCCTGTAATCTACGAGGATCCGATTCTCTTTCAGCGGCAGTCAAAGACACCGATGCGATACTATCGGCCTGGTATCTACTGCCAACTCTGATCTCGCCTGTTAAAAAAAGAAGAGTACCAATTTTAAACCAATCCCTGACAATATTAGTTTCTTCTTTTCCTCCTTCTCGCTGCCATTAACAATCAGCTTACCTTTGTCAGCGAGCAGGGTCCGTTGTGTCGGATCGAAAACCAGACAGTAGAAAAAGGAGTCCTCCTTGTTAAGGTAACTCAGTAAGGACTCAGTCTCGTTCAGCAAGGTAACGCAGCACTTTCCTCTTATTAGGGTGGCAGCTATTGTTTCCGTTTGCCGCGAGAGAAACAACTCTCTGTGCTTCATCTGGTGGCGTTGTTTGGTACTTAATTCCGAAACGCCTCCGCCGCCAGCTCCTTCATCCATACCTGCGTTTAAAGTTTCACGTATTAATGCCAATGATTCGGATGACAACAGAGAACACATGTATATTACTACCATGCCAGAGATACGGTGCAAGGCTAAATTTAAAGTGCGTTACCCCAAAATAAAATTATTTATGAGTATCAATTTAATTCGATATCCCTGATTAGCTTTATTGGACGATTGACGCGAGTATGGGATATGTAGAAAAACATAGAGCAACTAAGATTTTCAAGGTAAATTGGACTACGTGAATTTCTTACCGTAAAGATCGTGTAAACGTACGGTACTGTTTGTATAATAAATATTTTTAAATTGAAATAAAGTACTGTAACCTCTCCACGATCTCGGGAAGAATTAATGAAAGGTATTAACGTTACACAGTTATTGGTGACTATATGGACTGGTCGAATATGTGTGTCTAATTTGTGCATTTGTAACGAGCAACAAAATGACGGTGATTCGTAAGCGAAACGCAGGTAGATGGCAGAAACAATCAAAACTCACAGTATCAAAATTAATAATAATAACAACAACAACATCTACGCTGTATAACGAGCAATTAAAAAAAGCAACCAAATTGTCAATTTCGACTTTTTCTGTATTAAAAAAAAAATTAAACCAAACTCGAAACAGATTTCGCGCGAAGCCTCAGATTACTAAAGAATCGTCATTTTACGCGGCGGGATTATTTAAAATATTTAAAAAAGAAAAAATCAATAAATTTTCTCCCAATCGAACCAAACGGTATCCAACGAGTACAAGAGACGCTAGAGTTCCGTAAAGGGTATTAAAATTAGTAGATACTATATTAAGTCCCAATGCAAAATTCTAGAGTATATAAAATCCTCGTTCCCACCGCACGTTACGACTCGGCAAGAAGATTCATTGTTAAGAATTACTGTAAAGCGAATCGAACTATTTAAAAAATATTAACTGTACGGGAATCTTCATGTAAAAAATACTTTTTTTTTTTTTACAAAGAAGTTACCAAGACCCCAGCTGTATGACTATGAGGAAGGGGTCGGAGATTTTTACCCGCTTTACTGTCTCTTTGGCCTTACAGTGAATTCAACCAGTACTAATGGCGATCACCAAGATTACAAAGAACTTGAACGCGTAATCCCGCCGCTGAATCTGTAGCCTCGTATCATCACTGGCTTCCATTCCACAAATATATTCCAAGACTCGCAAGTCGTTATGTCATCCAACGGGATATATCTCGTATCCCTAATACGCCGCCGTAATAGATCGACCAAAAATTAGGATCGGATAGGCCCAGAGAATCAGTCCAAGTTAAAAAGAAGTTCAACCGCTCTCTTCTCACTTTCACAAAAAAAAACCCCCGAGTAGAAGTCATTATTCGATTCGTTCAATTGTTGCTTTTTTTTAATCGTATCTACATTCTCTTATAAGAGCACTTTGCGTAATACCATGCGAGATTCAATGACAAATCTAAACAGCTATTCGATACGAGACACCATTGCGATTTTTACACATAGACACGATGAAGAAGGAAAACAATTTTTATCAAATAAACAAACGTAAAGAAACGCATAAAGACACGGAGTTTATAATATAGTATATTATCTAATTGCATACACAACTTGTATTCCAACGTCTATACCGATACTAAGTAGCAGCGCGGTTTGAAAAATATGGGGGTTGTCAAAAATCGCGTTGACGAGGATACCAGGAAAATAAAAAAAAATTTAACATTTTTTTTTTCAGTACAATCCAGAGAGACTACTTGGTACAGTTTTTTTCATTGGAACAATAAGACTTTTTATAGATTGATTTCTATAGGTAAATAATACACAGATAATCATGTCGGATCGTTGGAGCAAAGTGCCTAGAGAGAAGTTGAGTCAGATTATAAATTAATCGACGGGAAGTAAATGCCAACCGCGGATCGACAACTGTACCGATCGTCCCGGTGGCTGAGTGTAAATTAAAATTCGTCCGCAATGGTCACCATTCGATCATGATTCGATCGGATGCGATCAATAGGTCACTCACCGTGGGGCTCTTGGGCCTCCGATAGTGGGGCCTTCAGCCAGCCCCCCTTACCGCCCCCTTTGTTCATGACTTTGGGCCCGATCCCATCTTTACTAGTCATATCCTTAGTCGAGTCCGGATTCTCAAGTTTCTGACTCTGCGTGCTTGCAGGGGATTCCGACCTCTGCTGCTCCGCGCTTGCCACTGTAATTTTCATGACAAAAAAACCCAAACTCTACTATTGCTGTTTCTTCCTTTTTCTGTTCACAATTGAAAGGTCCAGCCATAGAATGTATGGACAGATAAGTAAGAGAGTAATGGAGCTAAGTTACATATATACGTAGAGTACAGAGTGAGAGAGAAAGATGTGAAAAATAGACAGTAGTACTAGTAGCAGTAACAGAGGTGAGACGTCAACAAAGTAATATTAAGGAGATATTGAATTTTCGTGATAACGTCCTGATTTACGGATTAGGCGTGTAATCAGGAGTATCCGATATATTTTTTATTTTTCTCAGTATGGCGGACAACGACGGCTAATTTAATTGCCGTGAATACAAGCGTCAAGCAGACCAGACAACTTGAAACTAGTAATGTCATAACGAGGCAGACTAAAAAGAAAAGTCAGGTAAAGAGATTTATAGTGACCAGAGGACTGCGAACAAATGTTTATGTTAATTTTTTGACTTTTTTTTTTTTTTTTTCAAGCCTTTATAGAAATTTTGATTCTGTCAGCCAATTCCAACCGCGTTTCTATTATCCGCAAATCGAGAAATCGTGCGTATGTATTATGTATGTCTATATGCAGTGACGTGACTGGGTCAAAGGAGATTTTCGAATGCTTTTTACAACGGTTTCCCTTATCTTGCTGAATTTACATGGAACTACGCTGGCTGACTATCATTAACGAAGCAACGGGAGATCAACAAATAAAACGATTTTACGGCTCTATTTTAGGTCTTGTAACGCAACAGACTCATCGATCCGGAAGGACTCGTACGAAAATTCGTATCGGCCGACGAGGTTCCATTTCAATTCAGCGGATTGGCAGCAGGAGTACGCTTTTCTCTTTTTTTTTTTTTTCCTTCAAAGATTCCACGACAGAGTTACGACGATGGTTTCCAGTTCGAATCAGAGACGAATAGCTTTGGTATGTTGATAAACGTTTCTAATCTTGAGAAATATATTAATTTCTTTTCTTTTCCTTTATCCCGTTACTCTTTCATTCAGTCCAGTGCTTCAAGATTTCCAGAGTACTCCTGTGTACCTGATGGAACTCTAGCGATACGTGTTAGACAATTCCAAGGGGCGAATTTCGAACTGGCAACCAATGTCCAATGGGCATGATCTGTCGCTCATTGCGAAACAGCCTGAAAAGAGCATGAAATTTTATTATACAAAAACATACATATACGCTAAAAATACATCATCGACTGGTTCAAGTGAACTCATAAGATCGGTCCTGTTAGACTCACCAAATATATATGTTTCCGTAGAGATATAAAGCTCTCGAATAAACTAAGGATTCTTAAAAGTGAAAAATAAACCAAGTAATCCTCGAGCACCGTATGCATTTCTCTGGTGTTACGATATCCTGCAATGTAAATGGTCTCCCACGAGTAGGAGGACACCTGTATCCAGGTAAAACTAGATAGTAAAAAAACGAAAGGAATACACGATACTCTAGGATCTTATCAAAATGGCGTCTGTACTTGAGTGAGGGAGTATTGTAAAAGCCCGGACCCCGGTGGATCTTATCCAGTTGTCACTCGAACGTATTCAGCGTGTACATACAGGTCTTAGGGGTCTATCGTGTAACGTCGAAGGGGTTACCGTGGTGCACCAGTATCGCCCAGGTAACCACGCAAAAGCAGGATACGCTTTTCTGATAAAAAGCAGGGTGAATGTTTGCCGTTGGAAGGAGGTGCGATTGCGGCCAAATAGCAGCGGCGGCGTCGACCGTAGCGTCGAGCAACGCGCAGAGAAACAGAGGCCGAAGGGGAACGGATGCTTAAAATGAAGATGGCTAGTGAGTCCCACCATTTTCCTGTGCGTGAACATGTATATATACGTGGAGAGTACATACGTATAGGTGGAGGAAAGTGTAGGTATACAAGGGAAAAGGAAGGGAGGGGGGG